AAAGAAGAACCACAGGGAAGGAATAAACAAAGTAGAGAAAGACAGGAACAAATGAAGGGGGAAGGAAGTACAGTGCTGAGCATCCACTGTGAAGCTAGAAATAGGCAATTACATGTTAATGCTTGAGAGTTTTGATATTAAAATCTAGAAAAAGGGAATTTTATGTCAGGACTTTGAAAGATCTTGGGAAAAACTCGAAAATGAGGTGGAGGCTATTGCTCCTCCGTGATTTCTTGGGCTGCATTCGGGAGATGTCCCTTGGTTTCTAGGGAAGGGGGTGGTGAATTCGGCTACTTCAAAAATAAATTTAAAAATATAAGAAGGATTGGGCACACAGCCTTGAGATCTGAGCATGTTGCCATTTTTGCTTTCACTTTAACTGTTTTCAGCTACTTTTGGCAAAAAACAAAAACAAGAAAAACCAACCAGCATGCAGAGGTGGATGTGTGCAGAGTAGGCAGGCTCAGGCAGCTGTGTGAGCCTTCAAGCTGCAGCATGACCCACAAGAGCCTGGCACAGAGCAGTATGTGTGATCTTGACAAGCAGCTGCTGGGGGTGGGGGGTGGGCAGTTGGCAAGGAAGGGGACAGAAACTTCAGTGGCTTTGGGGGCCCCTCTCAGGGCAAGAAGGCACATACTATGAACAGTCAGATAGAGGGAAAACGCTATGTGTCTATTAACTGTATCCTTGAATGTAATATGGTCAAGGGGGATACCTCCTGGGCAGATGCTTTTTCATCCAGTGGCTTGGTCACATCCTTCCACACCTATTTATACTAATGAGTCCTTCAGTCTTGGGGGGGTGTAGTGCTCTAACCATCTGGAGTACCAAATAGCTCCCTTTAACGCTTCGGTGTGCTACAGCCCTGAAGTTTCGGCAGGATAATTGGGAATTAATTGGAGCCTCGATACTGTGGGTATAGCCAGTTACGTCATTATGTGGGTACATCCTGGAAAAAATGAAAGGTTTGTAATCAGAGTGTTTTCTCCTGCTACTATTGTGAAAAGGATCCTGAACAGTCTTCTCAAGCTTCAAGGCTCCAATCCCTTAAAGCTGTTAAAACAATACTTTTGTGTCTGATGGGCAGAGTGGCTGTTATGATCTTCCTTCGGAGCCTTGCAGTCTGGTGTTGAGCATCGAACTACCCCTGGACTGAGAGTGAAGACTCATCCTGAAGGGACTCTAGTAGGACTGAGCATGGCAAACATGGCTCTGTCAGGCCTTGCCCTTCCCCATTCCCTCTTATTTGCTAACTCTTAGATTACATTCCTAAAGCTAGCCACCAAGGATCTATTCCCTTATCTGACCACTTCCTCCTCCTGAGGCTGACTACCAGTCCCGAAATCAAAAGCCCACTTTTACCTACCCTAATTAAAATGTCCAATCAAAACAAACTCTCTCATCCTAACATGGAGTTTCCCCTTTTACCTTTATTTGTTTATTTATTTTTGGTTTTTTGAGACAGGGCTTCTCTGTGTAGCTTTGGAGCCTATCCTGGCATTCTCGATGGAGACCAGAGATCCACCTGCCTCTGCCTCCCGAGTGCTGGGATTAAAGGCGTGTGCCACCAACGCTTCCTTTATTTTTTTTAATCTTTTCTTTCTTTTGTTTTTTTATGAGCAATAGTGTTTTGTCTGCATTTATGTCCTTGTGAGGGTGTCATGTACCCTGAAACTGAGGTTACAGACAGCTGTGAGCTGCCATGTGGGTGCTGGGAATTGAACCCAGGTCCTCTGGAAGAGCAGCCAGTGCTCTTAACCACTGAGCCATCTCTCCAGCCACCCTCCCCCACCCTGCCTTTTACCTTTATAAACTGCCATTTGCTTATGGGTCACGTCTGTGTCCTCTCTATCAAGAGATAGTCCTATGTCCTTCCAGGATAAATATCCCTTCCCCTTTCCTCTGCCTCGTGTCTTTGTCTCTTATTCCCTGCCCTCTGTCCGCCAGGGCAAATGATCTCCTTTGTGCTAAGAATCTGGCCTTCGGTGTCCTGTGCCAATACTGATCCTTTCACATCCTGAACATCTAAGATACAAGAAAAGGAGAACTGTGGAGAGTGGAGAAAGCCCTGAGCAAATGCTGTTGATGTAGACACAGCCATATCAAGACACAGAGGGAGATAGCAAAGCCTAACCCCAAGAATGAGGCCCAGGATGGCAAAGTTTTCTCTTCTAGTCTGGTGTGTAGAAAATAGCCATTTATGGCCTGAAGATGCTCGGCTGTGGAGAGCTCCTCTCTGAAGATTAGCTAACCTGCCTCATTTACTCAGCTGTACAGTGTAAAGCCACCTCCATGTTTATCTATATGTGACTGCCTTGCCTCTTTGTCCAGTGGTATGCATACAATAGCCCCACCTCTCTATTCAGCTCTGTATAATGAACTCCCTGAGCTTCCAGAGTGTTGCGGATCCTCTGTCTGAAAGCCCATCTGATCCCTGTGTTTCTCTGTGTCTGTCTTTTTTTCATTCCCTGGCTGCCCCTATTTCAAGTCCATCCCTGGAGACATGTAAGGATGCACCACACCAAGATTGTTAAAATTAATGCTGGACAGTGGTGGCACACGCCATTAATCCCACCACTCAGGAGGCAGAGGCAGGCTGATCTCTGTAAATTCAAGGCCAGCCTGGTCTACAGAGCAAGTGCCAAGATAGCCAGGACTGTTACATAGGAAAACCTGTCCCAGAAAAAAAAAGTTGTTCCTAGCCTGGCTCTAAATGACCATGATGTCTTTGAACACCTCCTAATTCTTTGTATGGCCCTATCACACTGTATTATAAACTAGTTGCAACCTCTATTGACTTCCCTTGTCCAGTTGGAGACTGTTCCCTTAAATTTCCATTGTAACACATAGCTTAGGCCACAGAAACGTATTCCTAAATTAACAAACTCAGTTCTCCCCACCAGTACCACTTGGAACTACCTGTAGCCTGACAATTTTAGGTGTACTGTCCTTTTTTGTCCCCCACCCAGTGAGGTGGGGAGCCCACCCTCCATAATGCAAGATGGCCAAAACCACAATGCTGATGTCATTGGATGTGTATGAGTGACATAGCTCACTAATCACATGTACTCATAGCCTGTGTGAGGACATGCAGATACGAGAGGTTGCAAAGGGAAACAGAAGGCATGTGGGAAGAAGGCTTAGTGGTAACTAGGGCATAATATACCTCCGGTTTCCCACAAAAAGATGTGGTAGGTTATAAAGAGAACCCCAAAGATGAGATAGGCAAGTATGAGCATAGCTGGTCAAAGAGAAGCCTTTCCTGCTGGTGAGACATTTCTGTCAAGAGAAGTCAAGGGCCATGTATGACCCAAATATTATGGCAGCACTTGAATTTTTATATCCCACAGCATAGTGGGAACCCTAAAGCTATTCATTAGAGGGTGCATGATGTCCAGGATTGGGAAATAGGTCAGTGGGCAAAGTGCTTGCTGTGCAAGAATGTGGATCTGAGCTCAGATTCCTAGCACCTGTACAAAAAGCAAGACATGGTAGCATTTGTCTGACTCCAGCACCAGGGGCAGAGATGGGCAGATTCAGCGGGGTTGGGGGTTGGCGGGTGGGAGAGTGGGCAGCCAGATCTCCAAGATCAATAGGCAGACTGTAAGGCAACTCATGGACATAGAATAAAATAAAGGCAGGAAGGTGGTGGTTCACACCTTTAATCCCAGCACTCAGGATGCAGAGGCAAGCAGATCTCTGTGAGTTTGAGGTCAGTCTGGTCTACAAAGTGAGTTTCAAGACAGCCTCCAAAGCTGCAGAGAAACCCTGTCTCAAAACAAACAAAAAGAATAATAAAAATAAAATAGAAAGGTCAGATATGTCACTTATGTCCAGGAGCTGGACATTCCTCTTCCCCTGCCTTTGGACCCCTATGCTCTCCATATCCAGGGTCTCAGGAAGCCTTTGACTGGGTCCAAGGAACCATGGCTTCCTTGGTTATGAAGACTTTGGGACTTGACCTAAGTCACACTGCCAGCATTCGAAGTTCTCTGGCATGCAGACAGGTTGTCATGGGACTTCAGGCTCCATAACCACAAGAGGCAATGCTCATAAACCCCATCACATGTCTCTACCACTGCACCCTGTTGTTCTCTCTGGAAAACTAGCACACATCTAGAAAACATATGAAGCCCAATATCATTTTGTTTTTTGTTTTTGTTTTTTTTCAAGATGGTGTTTCTCTGTGTCTGTATAACCCTGGCTTTCCTGGTACTTGCTCTATAGACCAGGCTGCCTCAAACTCAGAGATCCTCTGGTCTTTTCCTCTTGAGCACTAGAACTAAAGGTGTGTGCCATAATGCCCAGCAGTGAAGGCTAACATGTTATACATGCCTGGAATCTCACCACTCAAGAGGCATTACCACCTGGGCTACTGGAACATACGACACTTGAACATAACATGACCTCACCTCCTAGCTTTCTTTCTCTCTGTCTCTCTGTGTGTCTCTCTGTCTCCACCACCCCTCCAGGAATAAGTGCCTGAGTGGTGGGGCAGAGGTGTCTTTGGCCACGTCCGGAAACCACCTTAAGGCTCTTTTCTTCAACTCATCCTCTTTTCTTAAAACCTGGGCCTTTATGACTCCATGAAAACTGTATTCTGTACTGACTCCAGAGACTTCTGAGGAGTGAGCTGCCTCTCCATCTCCTGTGTGCCACTTGGCGTCGTAAACAGATGGTTTGAATGAAAGGCTGTCATTCACTCCTGAAGCATTGTCAAATATCAGCTGAACACCTCTGGGTGAGGCTCAACTATGAGCACACACCACACACTGGGTTCTCAGAAGCATGCCCACTCCACTGCGTTCTCTGGTGTCCTAGCAACCAGAAACTGGGATATGAGTTCTGACAAGGAGAAAGGCCATTCCTTGCTGATCAGAGTGACTTGCCACCCTGAGCCTCTTGGGACCTGTCTGTGTAGCAGTTCAAATAATTGAAAGCTACCACTTGTCCCCAAGGACAGCTAGGAGCCTTGCCACATCAACCCATCCCCTGACAGGATGAGTTTTTCGGTCACGTTCTCAGAGTTGGCCAACATAGCTATACCACAGTGTGGGGTGGTGAACTTCAAAGCCCTTCATCTCCTGATCCAGGGCATCCTGGACCACATCCAGATCTCTGGGCTCAAGAAAGTTCTTTCAGGAGATGAAGATTTCCTTCAGACCTCACAGGTGGTGATCATGCCCAGGGAGGGAGAAGCCCAGACCATCATCAACCCCATGAAGAGGCTCAGCAACATCTTCGACACTGTGGTAGAACGCATCAACAAGATAGAGAATCAAATATCTTCGATGCAGACCATGCCCACCACCACGTCTCTGCTGGAGGCCAGCCAGGGGACCAGCAGGCCCGCTGAGGAAATGTGGAATACGATCAAGCTCCTCAAGAGGATAGAGGCCATTGAGGAAGTCACAGCAAAGGTAAACTCCCACCTGGAGAAGTGCTCTAGACCCCGCCTTTCCTCCTAGACAGCTTGCCCCCTCCCTTCCCTTGCGATGGGATATATCCACTTATGGAGAGAGTGTAGGTGAAAGCTTGGAGTCAGACAGAAGCCAAGATCCTTAGTCAGAGGAAAGAAGCCATACACAACGGACAACCAAATATAGAGTTGCACTGTTGTGAAATAACCAGAATAGGCAAACATACATACCCAGAAGGCTGAGGGGCAGTTTCCAGGAGCCTCAGAGCATGGTAACTTGGTGGATATGGGGTTTCATTTTTGGAGTGATGGAGATGTTTGAAACTCCATTAGAGTGATGGATGTTGAACTTTATCCATGGAGTCAGAACCACTGAGTTGTTTAATTAAATTGGCTGATTTGGACTGTGGAGATGACTCGATGGGTAAAATGCTTGCTATATAAACATGAGGCTGACTTCAGATCTCCTGAACCCAGGTAAAGGATAGACACAACAGCCTGTTGCTTTAATGTCAGTTCTCTCTTAAATCCTCTCCATCCCTCATGTGTATGTGTGACTGACTGTGTGTTTGTGTACACATGTGTGAAGGTACCCTTGGAGAAGAGAAGAAGTTGTCAGATTCTCCTAGTGCTGGGAACTGAACTTAGGACCTCTGTAAGAATAGTAAAAGCTCTTAATTGCTGAGACATCTTTCTAGGCCCAATTCCAATTCAATTACAATGAGATGGGAGGAAGAATCAGGAAAATTCTCAGAAATCAAGGGCCAGCTATGCTGTCACACAGAGCCTCAAACCAGGTAGTAGAAAAGGCACCACCTGAGGATGAACTTTGACCCCATATTCACAGCAGGTGTGTACCCATACTTACACATCATCTTATAAAAGACACAAAGATTTTTTGTTTTTAGTTTTTTTTTTGTTTTTTTTTTTCTGAAACAGCGTTTCTCTGCGCTGCCCTGGCTGTCTTAAAACTCGATTTGTAGACCAGGATGGCCTCAAACTCACAGAGATCCACCTTCCTCTGCCTCCTGAGTGCTGGGATTAAAAGTGTGTGCCAGCTGGGCAAGCTTGGCATTTTCAAGGGCCAAGTGTAAGGCTCCAGGTCAGGATTGGGAGTGAAACCATACTGGACACTACTGGGTCCAGGAACATGTCTCTTCCATGCTCCACCTCGATGGTTAGAAAAACCCAAATGCCTGAGAGAAGTGCAGAATTGCCACCAACTTGTAATGGGTTTAGATGTAGGAAGGGCTCTTCTCACCCCCAATGTGGGCAGAATCATTAGAGTCGTACCACTTACCCAGCAAGTTTCAGATGAGAGCCTAGACTGGGCATCAACCACAGAGGGCTGCTGGGACTGACCTAAGTACTGTGGGAGTGAAATCTTCAACACAGGTGTTTGTAGAGATGATTGAGGAGACATGATGCCTCCTGTATTGTGTCTCCTGACTTTCTTGGGCTTCACACCAGTCCCATTTCTTTTTCTTCTTCTTCTTTTAGTTTTTCAATTGTCCTGGAACTCATGTTGTAAACCAGGCTGGCCTCGAACTCAAGAGATCCACCTGCCTCTGCCTCCCGAGCACTGAGATTAAAAGCAAGCACCACCACTGCCCGGCCCAGTCTCATTTCCTCCCTTTCCCTCTGCTTCCTTTCCTGCTTCCAGGAAAACTGAATGCTCACTGTGTACCATGTGAGCTACACACTTTGCCTCTGTTGCACCTTTAAACTATGTAGTAACTATGAGGCATGTGCTTATTAATTTTATGTTTCAGATGGAGAAGAGGAGGCACAAACTAACTGAGCAGATGAGGTCATTACAGGTCAAAACAGTGAAGCCAGCAAATACCTGACAGAGTGAGCAGGCAGACGGCATGGGTCTGTGGAGTAACACCAGTCCTTTTCTCTAGTGGGGAAGGGTGGGGAATTGATAACTGGATGGATGTTTCCTCATCCCAGGACTGTAGCTGGAATTCACACAAACCAGGGCTGAAGCTGTAACTCAGTTGGTAGAGTGCCTGCCTAGCATGCATGAGGCCTGGGTTCCACCACAGCACCACCACATAAGCCAGGTGTGGAGGCAGCATCCTTGAGTGGTGTAAGGAAGAGGGTCTGTGGTTCAAGGTCACCCTTGATAAACATAGTTCAGGGTCAGGCTGGACCACATGAGTGCCCTTAAAAAAGAGAAAAAAAAAAAAGATTTCTCTGCCGGGTGTTGGTGGAACACACCTTTAATTCCAGCCCTCGGGAAGCAGAGGCAGGCAAATCTCTGTGAGCTTGAGGCCAGCCTGATCTATAGAGCGAGTGCCAGGAAAGGCTCCAAAACTACACAGAGAAACCCTGTCTCGATAAACAAAACAAAACAAAACAGATTTTTCACTAACTATAAATCATACAGTGCCACATTCTAGGTGCCCTGACTGTGCTTACCATCATTATTATCATCCAGAGATTTAGGTTGAACAGAAAAACTGGTGGACACAATCTCAGTGAGTCAGGCAGCACTGAGACCTTGTGGGAACACAGGGGCCTGAGCCTGTGGAGTGCTGGAGGGAGCAGGAGCCCTGTCTGGCCAACACAGCCAGGTCTGACACCAGGCAAAAGATGGAAGCAACTCAAGAAGGAACGTCAATCATCCTGCTGAGGGGAGGAGCTGAAAAATACAAGCTGTGAGGGTCCATTTACATAAAGTGTCTAGAAGAGGCAAGTCCAGAGAGTGGATTTGTGGTTTCCAGAAGCAGCGGCATGAGGAGTGACTGTTAACGGAGAAAGGATTTTTCTCTCTGAGGAATAAAATGTCCTCCAACTATGCAAAAGGGTAGAAAAGATATGTGTGCTGGAGCAGAACAGAGCACGGTGCCTAGCCAACATCAGACAACACTGCTGGAGGCGAGGCTGTCTCTGATGGCCTGGCCTGTGGCAGGATATGTGGACACAGATGTTAGAAGTGCTAGCCACAGCCTGCCTCCGTGGTCTTTGGCCTTGGTGAATAAAAGCTTCTAGAAGTCTCAAGTGCCCTGGGTAACTGAGCAAGATCACCTGTCTAGCTCTGGAGAGGTATCGTGGACAGGTTCAGACCTGGCACTGAAACCTTCCAAGGACTGTTTGTACCAATTAGGAATGTCCCAGCCGTTAGAGCATGCTGCCTAGTCCTAACCTGACTGAAGTTGCCCAAGGTTACCACAATGAACCATTGAAAGAGGTTGCCATGGTAGCTGGTGCAAGAACAGTGAAAGCTGCTTAGCTTCGCTAAGAGTGTGCTTGCACCAGTGAGGGTGGCAGGTGGGACATTACAAAGACGCTGAGGGTTTCTGCTGCTGCACTCTCCCACCCCCTTTCTCTGAGCTAGTTGGGTGACTGTCACCCTAAGTAATTACCCCTTAAAGGGGACAAGAACAGACTGTTGCTCTCAGTACCCACTCCAGAAAAGGCAAATGGTGCCTGGGAAACTAACACAGACTCCAGACAGCTTCTGCCCCATGGTGGGCAAGAGGCCTGGGCAGGTCTGGGCAGCAGTTTCAAGTTCTGTGCTATTGGTCAGCACATTTGTCCTACAACAAGCTATTATTAAGCAGGGTTAATGTGTAGGGCTTCTCTACCCCAGTGCTATAGACATTGTGGGTAGGATCACTCTGTGGCTTGGAGCTGTTCTGTGCATTGGAGGATGCTAAGTGACACCCAAAGTCACCAGAACTACTGCTTGCTTATAACCACTGAAAACACCCCCAGACACTGGTAGGTGTCCATTGACCCAGGTGAGGGCTGTTGGATTAGAAAACCTGGGTTTGTGGGGCCAGGGATGTGGGAATGATGCACACTTTTAATCCCAGCACTTGGAGGCAGAGGCAGGTAGATCTCTGAGTTCGAAGAAAGCCTGATCTACGGAGTGAGTTCCAGGACAGCAGGCTCTACACAGAGAAACCCTGTCTCGAAAAACCAAAATGAAAGAGAGAAGAGAGCGAGAGAGAGAGAGAGAGAGAGAGAGAGAGAGAGAGAGAGAGAGAGAGAGAGAGAGAACCTGAGCTCCAGGCTGGGTGTGAGTGACATGCCTGTAACCAGTGAACTGGATTACCTCAACTTCAAGGTCAGTTTGGTCTACATATCAGGTTCCAGACCAGCTATAGCTAGATTGCCAGAGACAGAGTAAGGAAAAAGAGAGATGGGGGGGGGGCGGGAGAGAAGAGAAAAAAAGAAGAAGAAAATCAGTCTTCCATGGCAGCCTCAGCTGTCCGTTCCAGATAGCCCCCAGTCTGTCGCCAGCCCAACCAGCCAGAGCAATTACCACTGCTACCCACGCACTAGCGCCCTCTAGCCGGCTTTCCCCAAATTGCATACCCCCCTCCCTGACACTCCAACACACATTCCCACCTCACCCCCCCATCCACCCCCAAATTCCTCATCTCCCCCGAAAGCTGCTTTTGTTGGTCTCTGTCTGTTTGAAACTTTGGGAGGCAGAGGCAGGTGGATTTCTGTGAGTTCAAGGCCAGCCTGGTCTACATACAGAGTGACTTCCAGGACAGTTAGGGCTAAATAGTGAGACCCTGTCATCAAAACAAAACAAAACTAATAATGCTGGAACTTAACTGCTTTGTTAAGATATTTCACATGAACTGAGAATTCACATATTAAAGGGTATATAGTCTGGCTTTGAGTGGGGTGATATAAATAAGGCATTTTTTTATATCGTCTTCTAGAACAGCTATGAGTAGGTTAGGATATGCATAGTTACTGGCTTGCTTGTGCTGAGCTAACTCTCCAGTCTAGGTGGGGCCTGGAGGAACACAGGGATGACACTAGTAGACACAGACTAGACTCAGTTTCCAGAAAATGGAAGTTCAAAAAATGGTAACAGCAGAGACAGAAGCATCACAGGTCTGATGACCTAACCAGAAGGGAGAGATGACTGCCTTTGTCCTTCCTTCTGCAGCCTACTGGTTAGAGACAAGGTGAGAGGCAGCTTCTTTAGGGCATTAAATCACCAGCTCTACAAACAAAGCACAACTCACAGATTCAATTCTTGTCTCTGCTCATTGGCATTTGTGGTGATTCCAATAGTAATTATGCTGTATTATATTCACAGAATCGTGCGACTCTTGGGATCTAATTTTAGAATATTATCAAGAGCCCCAGAAGAAATTCCTTAATGATTGGCAGCTACACCCCATACCTGCCCCTTGAGCTCCCAGCATTTTATTTTATCATAAGGTTCAGTGGGTTAACCTCTGTGCATTTACCAGTACCTTGCTATTTTATGGCCAAGTAATATTGTGTTTCTATTCATAGGCTACATTTAATTTATCAGCTGATGGACATTTGGGTTCTTATCATTTTGGGCTCGTATGGCTAGTGCTGTTATGAACACTGACGCACAAGTTTCTGTAGGTTCTTTAGAAAGAGCTCTTTTTAGCCAGGTGTGGTAGTGTACACCTCTAATCCCAATACTCACAGGCAGAGGCAAGCAGATCTCTATGAGTTTGAGGCCTTACTGGTTTATATATTGAGTTCCAGGACAGCCAGGGCCATATAGAAAGACTATCTCCAAAACAAATTTATTTTTATTTTTGTTGTATGCCATTTTGTGTCTGTGTGGGAGTATGTGCAAGTGAGTGCATTTGCCTTTGGAGTCTAGAAGAGGGCATTAGAACCTCTGGAGTTTGTTGCAGGCTTTCTTTTTACCACCAACCAGCTCCCAAATCATGACACAGAGACTTTTTATTAGTTATGAATGCTCAGCCTAGCTTAGGCTCATTTCTAGATAGTTCTTTTTACTTAATCTGTCTCTCTTTGTCTAGCTTTTGCCTCAGGGATTTTTACCTTTTCTTTCTTTCCAGTCCCAGGAGTCTCCCTTTCTTTCTCCCTAGTTCTCTTCTCTTCTCTCTCGACCCAGATTCCTCCTCCTCCTTATTCACTCTGCCCGCCAACCCCACCTATTCCTCTACTGCCAGCTATTGGCTGTTCAGCTTTTTATTAGATTAGTCAGGTGCCTTAGGGAGGCAAGGTGAAGCAACAACACATCTTTATATAATTAAACAAATGTAACACATTTTTGCCCAGTTAAAATAATATTCCACAACAGGAGTTGCTTGGGTGCTGGGAATTAAACTCAGTCAATAGCCCATTTTATTTATTTATTTATTTATTTATTTATTTATTTATTTTGTTTTTTTGAGACAGGGTTTCTCTGTGTAGCTTTCCAGCCTGTCCTGGCACTCACTCTGTAGACTAGGCTGGCCTTGAACTCACAGAAATCTGACTGCCTCTGCCTCCTGAGTGCTGGGATTAAAGGCGTGTGCCGGGCTCAATAGGCCATTTTAAATTAAAATAAATAAATATACAAATCTAGTCCCATCTCCCTTGCTTCTGATCCTCCAAGGGCTCCCACATGGAGGCTGCTTGTGCTGTTTCTCTCAAGAGGCATCATGGCCAATATACAACACACACACACACACACACACACACACACACACACACACACGCATACACACACACACATACACACACACACACACACACACACACGCACACACACACACATACACACACACACACATACACACACACACACATACACACACACACACATACACACACACACACATACACACACACACACATACACACACACATACACACACACACGCCAAGATGAAGAACTCTCCTACCCAGGCCACCTGGAGTTCGAAGCACTGTTGCTGTCTTAGTGTCCTTTGCTGGTCTGTGGGTATATCTTAAGTCTTTGGAGAACCAAGAGGATCCCTTAGATGACTGTCACCAAGAGCTTCTGATATGATTTATTCCTGTCACACCCGATTCCAGGGTTTCCTCCCTTTTCTCCCTGTTCAGTTTATGAAGACCCTGCAGGATTTGCTCAATGACCTCTATATACTCAAGCGCACTGTTGAAACCCTCCAGAAGGATGTGGACCTGATGAAGTTTATATTTGGAAAGGTACCATCCCGCTATCTTTATCCTCCACTTGGCAAGCTGGTTAGATCTCCAGGGACTTGGGCAGTAAGGAAAATTCTATAAGGCCTGTCCTTAGTCAGAGAGTGTGACCATAAAGGGAAGAGAAGGTTTAACCCACCCTAGTCATTTGTCCTGTCCCTTGAACTTTCTGTAGTCCCTCTACACTCCTCACTCTGCTCCCTTAAGCATCAGTTATCAGTAACAGAGACCCAGTTCATCTTGACTTAGGAAAAATAATAGAATTTATTGTCTTACTTACTCAATTGCTTAAAGCACGTGTTTTGTTTTTTGAAATTTATGCATATGGGTGTTTTGTCTCCCTGCGTGTCGGTGTACCATGTGTGTGTCTAATGCCTGCAGAGGCCAGAAGAAGGTGTCAGATCCCCTAGAACTGGAGATACAGATGTTTGTGAGCTACTATGTAAGTGCTGGGAAGTTTAGGGTTGTCCAAGAGTTGGCAACTCTAGAACTCAGTGTCCCCAGCTTTCCTCTCATTGGAATTACTATCCACACTTAAAGGCAGGAAAAACCCAGAACAGACACACAAGCTATTACATAACTCCATGTCATCAACCTGAACACAGCCTAGCCAACACAGACACACAAACTCTCATGTAACTCATGTCATCAGTCTGAACACAGTCTAACCAATCATGGAATGGCATAGAATCTCTGGAGTAAGAGGCAGCAGCCTCCGGACCACAGCTGACAAAATCAAGCTGAAGTCAGGAGCCAGGTGTTCACCTCCAGACCAGTAAAGTGGCTGAGATTGAGCCATTTACCCCAAAGGGGTAATGTAACATTTGAGTCTCAGGCTGATCTGGGGATGGGTCAGGAAGCAGGACCATGAAACACTATTATCTTAGTTTGGGTGATAAAACACCATGACCGAAAAGCAAATTAGGGAGGAAAGAGTTTATAAGGCTTACACTTCCACATTGCAGACAGGAACTCAAAATGGGCAGGATCCCGGAGGCAGGAGTTGACGCAGAGGCCATGGAGGGACGCTGCTTATTGGCTTGCTTCCCATGGCTTGCTTAACCCACCTTCTTATAGAACACAGGACTAACAACCACCACACACCATGGGCTGGGCCCTCCCCATCAATCACTAATTGAGAAAATGTCTTACAGCTGGATTTCAAGGAGGCATTTCCTTAGCTGAGGCTCCTTCCTCTGATGACTCCAGCTTGAGTCAAGTTGGCACACAAAACCTGCCAGTACAACAAGAAATGACACCTTGGGGGCAAGTCTATCTGAGAAACAATTCCTTCTAGGCCCATCTCTTACAGATTCGTTGTTCTGTTCCATTTTTGTCTGCTCTGTACAGGTCTCTAGTAGCCCAGCTTGGCCTCCAGACCCATAGGTGGTAGAGATGACTTAGGTCTTCTGATCTGCCTGCTTCACAGCACAGTGCTAGGATCACAAGCATGCATAATCACTCCTAGTTTTATGCAACATTGGGGATAAACCTTGGGTCTCATATATGCTTGACAAGTACTTTTTTTTACCAACAGAGCTACATTGCCAACTCACCTCTTGAAGATTCTTTGTTTGTTTTTTGAAACAGGGTTTCTCTATGTAGTACTGGCTGCCCTGGGAACTCATTCTGTAGCCCAGGTTCGCCTTGAATCATAGATTCACCTGCCTCTGTCTCCCAAGTGCTGGATTAAAGTGGGGAAGGGGGGTCATCAGGATAAGGCTTTGGGAGTGGTGGAGGGCTGAGGGTCTTGGGAGAAGACCAGATGGTTCTCTGCCATGTCCCCATCTGGGCTTCTGCTAACTTTAAGCCAAGTGAGCAGGGCCTGTTGGACAAAGGTTGATGAGCACACCAAATAGGAGGCTTGAGGGGAGTGGGAGCTAAAATTCTTTTATTTCTTTATCCATGTATTTTATGTATGAATGCTTTGTCTTCACACACACCAGGAGGAGTCTGATCTCATTACAGATGGTTGTGAGCCACCATGTGGTTGCTGGGAATTGAACCCCAGTCCTCTGGAAGAGCAGTCAGTGCTCTTAACTGCTGAGCCATCTCTCCAGGCCCCACCCAAGCTAATATTCTTTTTTTTTTTTTAAAGGTTTTATTTACTTATTATGTATACAGTCTTTTGCCTGACTGCCAACAGAGGGCACCATATCTCATTATAGATGGTTGTGAGCCACCATGTGGTTGCTGGGATTTGAACTCAGGACCTCTGGAAGAGCAGTCAGTGCTCTTAACCGCTGAGCCATCTCTCCAGCCCCCAGATAATATTCTTAATGTTCTATCTATTCAATGTTCTGAAAAGCTCAGAGATTGTTATATGTTTTTTGGCCCAGCACTTCCCAAGGTTTTTTTTTTTTTTTTTTTTTTTTTTTTTTTTTTTATCTATGGAACCTTTTTTCTTTCCTGGGAAATTCTATTTGTCCATTCTTCTAAACTCTAATATGATAAGAAGCAGCCAGGCTGGGAGCAGAACCTGTACCCCCACCTCAGATTAAGCTTCCTGGATAGGTAAACCCAGAAAAAATGGAGCTTATTTGTGAAGACTTGAAAGTACAGAACCGGAAGTTGGGTGCCCTGCAGCGGGAAGTGGTGAGCTCCTGGGATTCTGGTCTCTTGCCCGGGGCCCTGGGGGCTGGAATGGGTATGGAGAACAGTGTAGTCTGGAAAGGGCTTCAGTGAGCAATAATAGGTCGCCATCCCCATGCTATCAACAAAGACCACCCCCCCCCCCCCCCTACCCTAGTTCACACTCATTCTCAATCCTACTACACAGGTTACCCTCCAGGACAAGGTTGGTGCTATCCCCGAACCCAAAGACATGGTGCTCTGGAGTGGCCTCCATGAGGCCATGTTCAGTCCGGTGAGTAGGAGGAGGAATGGGAGAAGGGGGTCATGAGACCAGACAGTCAATTGGTCCTCTTCCCTGCAGAGATCTAAGGAGGAACTGGGGCAGTTTGAGGATGAAGACCATATCGCACACCCCACGAAGACCTTCATGCCTGTTGGAACCACAGGACCCCTTGAGAGACAGGAATTCGCTCAGGCCGATGAGTTTCGTGGCCCCCTGGGGCTACAGCAGACTCGGGTCTCCATGACTGAGACTGTCCCTGGCCCTTCATTTGGGCCTAGAGGGAGGCCTGGTTTCATTCCATCCTCTTGGCCTAGACCTGAACTGGCTGTCCCAGGCGCATGGCCCTTACCACCAAGAGGCTTGCCTGGGGCTTTGCCTGGAGCTTTGCCTGGGGCTTGGCCTGGGGCTCCTGGGGCTTGGCCTGGGGCTTGGCCTGGGGCTTGGCCTGGGGCTTGGCCTATGTCAGATATGGGTACTGTCCAGCCTGGCCTACGTCCATTTGGTCCTCAGGGCCAGATGTACAGGGCTCCTTTCCCAGCCATGGAAGCTGGACCACAACACCAGGTTCCTAAAACAGGAACGCCGCTCTCAGATCTTGAAGAAAGAGATGAATATGAATATGGGTATATGGAACAGGTCCCTAGGGATGGGGCGCCCCAGGATGGGGTTCCCAAGGAAGAGGCTCCCCAGGATGGGGTCACCAAGGAAGAGGCTCCCCAGGTTGGGGTCCCCAAGGAAAGGGCTCCCCAGGATGGAGTCCCCAAGGAAGGGGCTCCCCAGGATAGGGCTCCCAAGGATAGGGTGCACCACCATAGAGCCCACAGGCGCAGAGTCCCCAAAGATGGTGCCCCCCAAGACAGCGCTTCCAAGGACACGGTCCACAAAGATAAGGAACAGAAGGACAAGACCCCAGAAGCACAATCAAAGCACTCTCTGTCGGCCCTAAAGAAGCTGAAGTCTGTTGCTTCAGTAGCTGCAGCAACTGCTGCGGCTTACGCAGCTGCAGCAAACACAGCCGCCCAGAGAGCCACAGCTGCTCTCAAGGCGATCAAAGATCCTGAAAGCAAATTGGCTTCTTCAGCCTCAACCATGGCGGCGGGTGGGCCTTTGGAGGCCTTTGCAGATTTCCTGGGTTCAGGAACTAGCCCTGGGGCCACCGACATCATACCCTACAGTGATGATGAGCTGCAAGAGTTAGTTGAAACGCTGACACCAGCCACTCGCCCCACCACACCCAGATCAGCTCTGTCCCAGGCCATGGTGACTGCCAGCCAGGCTGTGAGTCCTGAAGAGAAGAAGGCGGCTGTCCAGTACTCTATGAGCCACCTAGCCCAGATGCCTGTCAGGCATGACTCCCTCAAAGAGGAGCTTGTTCATCTCTCAACCAAACTGAACCAGCGCTTAGATTACCTAGGTAGTCCTGGCTAACCCTGGAAGAGGCTCAGGTCCTCCCTGTATGTAGTCTGGCACCGTAGGCTTCCTCAACAAGATCTTCATTCTGTTCCTTTTACTTAAGCACTAACCTCTTAATAATCTATTCTTTCTTTGTTTGTTTGTTTTTTGAGACAGGGTTTCCCTGTGGCTTTGGAGGCTGTCCTGGAACTAGCTTTTGTAGACCAGGCTGGTCTCGAACTCACAAGGATCCATCTGCCTCTGCCTCCTGAGTGCTGGGATTAAAGGAGTGCGCCACCAACGCCCGGCTAATAATCTATTCTTTTTATCTTGAATTTTTGTTCCTCCTGGTGTTCATTTGCTGATGCGATTATAAGTATACAGCACCACACTTAGTTTTTTTTAGACATAGCCCTGGCTGTCCTGGAACTCACTATGTAGACCAAGGTAGCTTTGAACTTTCAGAGATCTACCTGCCTCTGTTTCCTAAGTGCTGGTAACTGAAGGCGTGTACCACCATATTTGGTTCATATGTTCTTTGTGAGTTTTTTTTTTAAAGGTTTTATTTATTTATTATGTATACAACATTCTGCTTTCATGTATATCTGCACACCAGAAGAGGGCACTAGATCTCGTAACAGATGGCTGTGAGCCACATGTGGTTGCTGGGAATTAACTCGGGACCTCTGGAAGAGCAGCCAGTGCTCTTAACCTCTGAGCTATCTCTCCAGCCCCCTTTGTGAGTTTTTTGAGAAACTGTTATCACAAAGTCCCCCACCCCAAGCTCACTGTATTTCTTTGGGACACCGTGTAAGTGTGTGAGTTCTCCTGTTATCTCCTCCCTCTTCCCTTTGAACAGTCGCTCCCTCTCTTCACTTTCAGCTAAAATGGGAAGTTCTGGAAAGCTTGGTAATGCAGTGAATGTGCTGGAGGAAAAGATTTGTAACCTCCAGAAAGCCAGGCTGGAGGTTAGTGTCATGGTCAGAAGTCAGTGGCTTGGCTTGAGCTAGGGGCCACCTGCTTGACTGTCACCCTCCCAATCAAGCTGTTTATTGCTGGAAAGGGACCTTCGGAAGTGAGTGGGGTGGCACATGAGTTGCATCTATGCAGAGTCCATGGGTGGGTGGCTCTCTTGTCCCTGTCAATAAGTATTTCATGTGCTGGCAGAGGCCAGCCTGGTGTGCATGGGCCTGGTATCTCTTCTTGATCTCAGGACGCTTCCATTTTGGCAACATCAGAAGCAGAGGCCTTGGATGTCATTGTCTCTCCCATTTAGGAAGAAGAACTTGAGAGAATTTGGGGCCACCAGATAGAGACAATGAAGAGTCACTACATAGTGCTAGACAGGACAGTGGAAAAGCTCCAGATTCGCATGGATGACTTCAAGGTTCGGAGGTCTGAGGACCAAGAGGGAGGCACTGGATTCCTCCCTGGGACCATGAGATCCTCTAAATGAAGGGGAAACAGGACATTTTACTCTGCATAAATTACACTTCAATTAGCCAGGCAGTGGTGGCACATGCCTTTAATCCCAGCACTTGGAGGTAGAGACAGATGGATTTCTGTGAGTTTGAGGCCAGCCTGGTCTACAAAGTGAGTTCCAAAACAGCCAGGGCTACACAGAGAAACCATCTCAAAAAAGCCAAAGAAAGAAAGGAGAAAGAAAGACAGAAAGAAAATAAAAAAAATAAATCCCAGGGGCTGGAGAGATGGCTCAAAGGTTAAGAGCACTGTCTGCTCTTCCAGAGGTCCTGAGTTCAATTCCCAGCAACCACATAATGTCTCACAACCATCCGTCAAGATCTGGTGCCCTCTTCTGGCTTGCAGGCATACATGCAAGTGGAACACTGTATACATTAAAAAAAAATAAATAAATGTTTAAAAAATATTTTTTTTAAAAAAAGAGAGTACTGGCTGCCTTTACAGAGGACCCGAGCTTCATTGCCAGTGCCCACACAACAGCTTAAAATTATCTGTAACTCCAGTTTCAGGGCATTCAATGCCCTCTTCTGGATTCCTTGAGCATCAGGCATGTATGTGATGCCCATACAAACATGCAAGTAAAACATTCATATATATAAATCTTTTTTTTCTTTTTAGAAAAATCCCCTTCACATAAAGGACCTGGACAGTGTCAATCCTTGCAGGCCTTTGTGTCATCAACCTGAAGGTAGAAGGACAGATTTAAGGCTTAGTAACATTTGCCAAAGAAATCAGTGTATGAATAACTGGATTTCTTGTACCAGTAGCTAGCTATGTGTTCCTAACATTTCCCCTGAACCAGTTCTTCCTCCTGCAGGGTTAAGGATGGAGCTGGGTATGTGGGGTGGCAAGTGCTTGCCTAGCATCCACAGAGCCCTGAGTTCCACCTTCAGTACTGCTTGGACACAAGGACAGAAGTAGAAGAAGGTTAAAACATACCCACTGGTCTCCATTTACATTTCAGTAGATAACAATACAAGGCAGGCTATAGAGTGCAGTTCTCATCTGGGTAGCCAGAGTTTGGCTTGAGAGGAAAAGTGACTCTAGCTTCTGGGGACAAGTGGCTCTGCTCAAGCAGGCAAGCTGCTGCTCCTATCATTTAATTTTTTATTGTTTGTTTGTTGTTGCTTTATTTTTTCTGAGACAGGGTTTCTCTGTGTAACAGCCCTGGCTGTCCTGGAACTTTCTGTAGACCAGGCTGACCTTGAACTCACAGAGATCTTCCTGCCTCTGCCTCACCAATGCTGGGATTAAAGATGTGTTCCACTACCACCTGGCCTGGGGGTATTTATTAAGAGGAGACAAGCCAGCACTAATAGGGGATTTCACGGAATTATGTAATGGGAACTAAGGGTTTCCCTCTAATTCTTGTGCTCATGTATGGTCTGCTGATATCAGAGTACACTGGAATCCCACTGTAGATTAGATGAGGTGGACTGGCCTTAAACATCTAGGGAACTAAATGACCAGCGCTTGTTTGTGCTTCCTTGGGTTGGCCTCTGGTGACATCATCTCCAAGGGTTAGTTTGTCCCTCGTCTCATGTGGCTTCTCTTCTGTCCCAGTTTCCTGGCCACCTGCTTCTTCCCCAGCTGGCCCCAGTCCCCTTCCTAGCACAAGGCAAAGCTGGAGGCACAAAGCAGATGTTACCCTCAAGGACATAACAAAGCCTGTGCTCTGTTCCTTCTTAGACCCTCAAGGCTGAAATCCAAAGGCTGGATCTGATTAAAGCTGATAAAACCATGATGGAGCAGGAGCTGAGAGAAGTGAGTAAGCACAAGGGACCCTGCCTCCCACCCCTCTTAATCCTGTGCCTCTGATTTGCCCAATCAGGGGATCAGAATCACCCAGGCAAAGGCAGCAGCTAGCATTCCCTGTGCCCCTATTCATTCAGTAAATCCAAGAGGTCTCAAAGGTTCCCCACCCACTTCTCTTTCTGGAAATTAGTGTTGATGTTTAGTATTTTAAAAATCAGAGCCGCTGGAGAGATGGCTCAGAGGTTAAGAGGCTGCTCTTTCAGAGGTCCTGAGTTCAGTTCCCAGAAACCACATGTGGCTCACAGCCATCTATAATGAGATTTGGTGCCCTCTTCTGGCCTGCAGTCATACATGTAGGCAGAACACTGTATACATGATAAATAAAAAAATCTTAAAACAAAACAAAACAAACAAAAAAACAGAGCCAGGCAGTGGTGGCGAATGCCTTTAATGCCAGCACTAGGGAGGCAGAAGCAGGTGGATCTCTGTGAGTTCGAGGCCAGTCTGGTCTACAGAGCGAGTAAGTTCCAGGACAGCCAGGGCTACCTAGTGAGATCCTGTCTCAAAAAACAAAATAAGACAAAAAAAAAAAAAAAAAAATCAGGCATCAGGCATCAGTTGGCTAAGTGCCTTCCTAGTATGCATAAAGCCCTGGGTTTAATCCCCAGCACTGCATGAAGTGTCATAAAGCCATAATTGCTCCACTGGAAGCAGAAGAATCAGAAATTCAAGTTCAAGTTCATCCTTGACTATGGGGATACAAGGCCAGCCTGTATACCATGATATACATGAGACTCTGTCTTTAAAAAACAAAACAAAACAACAACAAAAAAACCAAAATAAAAATCACAAGTCAGGGCTGGAGAGATGGCTCAGAGGTTAAGAGCACTGGCTGCTCTTCAAGAGGTCCTGAGTTCAATTCCCAGCACCATATGGTGGCTCCCAACCACCTATAATGAGATCTGGTGCCCTCTACTGGCCTGCAGACAGAACACTGTATACATAATAAATAAAAAGTCTTAAAAAAATAAAAATAAAAAAAAAATCACACGTCAACTTTTCTGTTTGGCTCAGATCCCACAGCTGTGTTTGAGCCAGTGTAGACACCACCACTGAACTTAAGCCAAGGCTATACATTCATGGCTTTCAATTAGAAAAACTGACCTCACGGATCAGGGGTTCCTCCACCCCAGTAGTCTTGCTACCCTGAACCCCCTCTGCCTAGAAAGCTAACAGGGACGCCTTGGCAAGCAAGGCAAGCCGGACGGACCTGGAGGTGGTGGCGACGGAGCTGAATGAGATAGTTCAGAGCATGCTCTTGAAGATCACAACCCAGGAGGATGACTGGAAGAAGTCGCTGAAGCAACTCAGGAAGGACCTGAACACTAAGGTGAGCCTGTAGTTGGTAGCGATTGCTACCTAACAAACCCCCCCAGAGCTTAGCAGTCTCAAAGAGCAAATGCTGATGGTTTTGAAGAGCAAGAACTTAGAAGCAGGTGGTTCAGGAACTTGACTCCCAAGTCAGAGTGAATGTGTCATTCCCACTGTACCATCTGAAAGAACCATGTGAAGCCACTTCAAACAGTGTACCCGAATGCAACTATTGGCAAAATGCTTCAGTATTTCATATACTGACTCCTCCTTAGGGCCACTTAAGGGGCCTCATACACACACACACACACACACACACACACCAAGTGACCCAAGACAACAAGAAGAATGTGCAATGTCTTTTGCTTCTCAGCTATAGAAGCTACTCCCATCATTTCCACATCATCCTGTTGGTTATACAAGTTGGCCCTATTCTGTGTAGGAGGGAAAGACTCCAGTGGAAAGAGTACCAGTCCCATCTGGAGCCATGATTTTAGGCTAACCTCCAGAACGCTTGGGGTGGTGAAGGCTTTCTGCAGAAAAGACCATGCCTGTCATTTGATCATTTGTCACTCAGTGACTACCTCAGTGTGCTACACCTGAGGAGTGTAGACCGGGAGCCCCAGCCCTGCCTTCTCTTGCACAGTGTGCTACATGTCTCTTTGTATTGTTTTGGAGCCTGTCCTGGAACATGATCTGTAAACCAGGCTGCCCTTAAACTTACAGAGACCCACCTGCCTCTGCCTACCAAGTGCTGGGATTAAAGGCGTGTGCCACCAACCCCTGGTGCTACATGGCTCTTTTTTTTTTCCCAAGAAACACAGGGTTTCTTTGTAGCTTTGGAGCCTATCCTGGCACTCACTCTGGAGACCAGGCTGGCCTCGAATTCACAGAGATCCGCCTGCCTCTGTCTCCTGAGTGCTGGGATTAAAAGCGTGCGCCACTATCGCCCGGCACTGCTACATGACTCTTTTAACTGTGGTGGCAAGTTTAGAATCGGGTACTCTTGGTTTGAGTCTTAAACATGGCTTCAGCTTTCCCATCTGTAAGCTAGAGATTTATTCATTCACTATTTATGGTCCTTGCTGGGTAAGCAGTGAACCAAGGCGATGGGGGCACTGTCTTTGTGGAGAGACAGGTTCCTCAAAGAACGGTCACAAATCTGTGCAAAGCCACAACCCCATAGCATTCCCCAGAACAGCTGACCGGTGTTTCTTTTGCTTCAGTGGAGCTGATCTAAAGTTGGACTGACACTATGACCCGAGCAGGAATTAACACATAACTCACTGTACCCAGGGATGAGGGTGGTGTGCTGCACAGCTGTAATCCCAGAGGGTCCCAAGTTCAAGTCCAGCTTGGGCTACAGTGAGTCTGGAGGTCATCTGAGGTGATACAGTAAGACCTTGCAGGGAGAAGGAAAAGAGTCCAGAATATACAAATCCTAAGCACAGACTAAGCTATTTCTTGCCAGGGGCTGGGGATTCAGGAGGAAATGGGGGTAACTGGAAATGAGGTTTCTTTGGAGAGTGATGTAGATGTTCTAAAATAGATTATAAAGCCCTTCCAATACCGAGGCAGGAAGCCCAGCCCACACTCAGCTACATAGTGAGGTACTGGCTCAAAAAGAAATAACAAATTGCCAGATGGTGGTGGCACATGTGTTTAATCCCAGCCCTCAGGATGCAGAGGCAGGCAGATCTCAGAGTTTGAGGCCAGCCTGGTCTACAGAGTGAGTTTCAGGATAGCCAGGGCTACACAGAGAAACCCTGACTTGAAAAACCAAAATAATAATAGCAATAACAATAATATTAATATTAATAATAAATTTGCCAGGCATAGTGGTGCATGCCTTTAATCCAAGAATTTAGGAGACAGAGGCAGATGGATCTGTGAGTTTGAGTTCCAGGACAGCCAGGGCTCTGTAGAGACCCTGCCCCCAAAAAATGTTTTTTAAAATGTAATTTGATTGCACTGGGCGTTGGTGGCGCACACCTTTAATCCCAGCAATCGGGAGGCAGAGGCAGGCGTATCTCTGTGAGTTCAAGGCCAACCTGGTCTCCAGAGCGACTGTCAGGATAGGCTCCAAAGCTACACAGAGAAACCCTGTCTTGGGCTGGAGAGATGGCTCAGCGGTTAAGAGCACTGACTGTTCGTCCAGAGGTCCTGAGTTCAATTCCTAGCAACCACATGATGGCTCACAACCACCTTGAATGAGATCTGGTGCCCTCTGCTGGCATGCAGGCAAAAGACTGTATATTAATAAATAAATAAATTTTCAAAAAAAAAAAAAGAAACCCTGTCTCAAAAAAAAAAAAAAATGTGATTGCGATGGTTACACAACTTTGTGAGTATACTAAAGCAATTGTCCACTTTATATGCAAACACTCCATAAATAGTTGTCAGATTATGAAACATACATCAGGGTATAGGGTTCACTGGAGAAATATTTTTCTAGCCTCTAGCCATGCAGTTGAGCAATAAGTTTGGAGGCAGGAGCTGGTGGCATTTCTTGCAATGGCTACTGGGAATCTCACTTTGCAAATTCCCTATGCCAATAGCATTCATAGAGGCATGAACTAAATGGTTTTCCCTTTCCCGGGTCTCCTCTAGATCCCTCTGCCTCTACCTCCCTCCTGAGTGCTGGGATCAAAAGTGTGCACCACCACAGCGTAGCTATCTTATTCATTGTGTGACTCTACTGGTTGTTGGGGTTAGCTAACTGACAGGACTTCTTTCTTCCTTGTGATTGGCAGATAGTTCACAGTGATCTGAATAGCCTGAAGAAGGACATAGAAGAAGTTTGGAAAACACTTCGAAAGCTTCTGATAGAAGGCCTGCGATTCGACCCTGACAGCGCTGCAGGCTTTAAAAAGTGAGGGTGTTGACACTGATACTCTTGCCAACAGAGAGATGCCTAGAATTCTAGACCTTGGCCATGCTGACAGGGACAGGTTCCATATATCTCCCTCCTCTAAGGATGGCTTCACTAGTGGAGGAACTGATGTGATGGGCCAATACTGGGCCTGCATGGGGTGGGAAACCTCAGCCCTTTGTCCCGGGGCCTCAGGCACTGACAAAGGCGTTTGCAGGACATTAAGTTCACTCCACCCCCAGTCCGGGACAAGCTAACCCCTGACTACCCTCCTCCTTGTCCTCCAGGAAACTGTTCGAGCGGGTGAAATGCATCTCCTGTGACCGGAAAATAGAGATGATGACTGGCCCGTGAGTACCGCCGCCAGAGGGCGCTCTCCGCGTTTGCCGGGTCTGCTCTACAGACCTCAAGCACATAAGCAAAAGCACACACCTACCTACATACTCATCCTTCCACACCATTCTACAGCCACCATCTCCTGTCCCTACTCAGTGGTTCCCTATATAGGGGAGTTCTCTCTCACTTATATCACACTCCTAGTCAGTGCTTTGTTCCAGAGAAAGGATAGAGGGATCACTGAGGGAAAGCAAGAACTTGTTATTTCTGAGTTCATGATCTTTTGTTTTGTTTTGTTTTGTTTTTCGAGACAGTGTTTCTCTGTGGCTTGGAGGCTGTCCTGGAACTAGCTCTTGTAGACCAGGCTGGTCTTGAACTCACAGAGATCTGCCTGCCTCTGCCTCCCGAGTGCTGGGATTAAAGGCATGTGCCACCAACGCCGGGCTTCATTGATCTTTTTGGAGACAGTCTTGCTATGTAGTCAAGGCTGGTCTCAGAACTTGAAATCCTCCTGTGTCACAGTCCTCAATGATGGGATTTCAGGTGCACATCTTTAGTCCCAACTCCTTGTCCTTACTTTGATACCATTGTAAAGGGCATGGTTCAGTGGCCTCTAACACTGTAATTGTTGCCTCTAGTCAATTCCTGCACACTGCTTGCCCCCCAAAGGCATCCCCAATTCCATTAGTAGTCACTTCTCATTGCCACCTTCCTGTAGCCCAGGAAGCCATTTGGTTTGTCTTTTCCAGATGTTTCCTGTAAGTGGGACTGGTGTCTGGCTTCTTTACCGAGCTCAGTGAGATTCCTCCACATTGTAGAAACCAAGGCTTCCCTCCTTTGTTAAGGCGGAATAATATTCTGTTGCATGGACGGAAAACCTTTTGTGTATCCATCCATTCATTAGCTGATGTGTATTTGGGATGTTTCTTTCAGCTGTTGTTACTCGTGCTGCTGGCAACATGGGGGTATATTTGAGTACCAGTTTTCCATCTTTGGGGAACAAACCTAGGAATGAAAATGCTGGGCCATATGGTGACTCTGAAAGTTGCCCCCACAGTAATCTGTGCTGGACTGCTGATCTCTGCTGAGCTAGGCCAGTCCTGAGACCCACAAAGCTGCTACGGCCCCAAACCAGCAGGTGGCTTCGGGGCTTCCACCAGGATTTTCCTTTCAAACCACAGGATGGCACTGTAGTTTGATTGACAGTAGTAAGAAGACTGGAAACAGCTGGGGGGTGGGGTGAGCCGAGGCATGATCACAGCAGAGTGTAGACTGGATTGTAGAATGCTGGTCCAACAGAACATTCTTGGTAAGGAACCAGTAACTGCTCAAACCACACAGTCCTGGGTGGAAAACACCATGAAATGTGCTAAGGATTAATGTGACCAAGAGCCTGGGTATTAAATTTTTTTTTTATTTATTTCATTTTTATCTTATATGCATTGGTGCTTTGCCATGGGTGTCAGGTCCCCTGGACCTGGAATTACAGACAGTTGTGAGCTGCCATATGGGTGCTAGGAATGGAACCCAGGTCCTCTGAAAGAGCAGTCAGTGCTCTTAACCACTGAGCCATCATCTCTCCAGCCCCCTGGGTGTTAAATTTTATCTGAATTTTGTTAGTCACTTGTAGCTGCCAGCTACTACACTGGATAGCATAGCTGTGGGAGAATATTAATGACTTGAAAAATGTTATCAGATCTGGTAACCATGGGGGAAAAAGAAAAATGATAATGAAATCAAACCATATGTATGTGACTTTCCAGTTTTCTTTTTTGGTTTTTCGAGACAGGGTTTCTCTGTGGTTTTGGAGGCTGTCCTGGAAGTAGCTCTTGTAGACCAGCCTGGTCTCATCTCACAGAGATCCACTTGCCTCTGCCTCCCAAGTGCTGGGATTAATGGCGTGCGCCAGCAACGCCCAACATGACTTTCCAGTTTTCTTTAAAGAAATTGTATAAACATGGACAAAATATTGGAAGGATAAGAATGTCAAAGTCTGTTCCTGCCATGTTGCTTGTTTCTTTGTGCCTTCCTGTACTTTATAAAATGGAAACAGGAAACAAGTATGTTTCACTGAACAGGCTTCATTGCAGCTTACTATCTACACAGTAAAAACAAAACAAAACAAAACAAAAAAACAAACCGCTTCTGCATGTGTGTGACCATCACACAGATGGAGAGGTGGAGTGGGCCCAGCTCCCTGGAAGGCTGCTCTGGATTTTTCATTTCCTTATGGAGGCAAAATACACAGGGCATAACCTTAGCCATCTGAAGTGAGCTCCCACAGTTGCTGTGTCCATAATGTACCGCCTCCATGTGCACCTGAGTCCTTTGCCATGCCCCTTCTGAGCATCGTGACCCCTTCTTGTGCCCATAGCTCCTGGCAAACACCCATCTGCAACAAATCTCTGGGATTTCCCTCCTTTGGTTTTTGACTACTATTTTTTTTTATTTTTTATTTTTTTACTTATTACCGGAGAAAGGCAAACACACACACACACACAGTCCAAGGTAGCCCTTAGACTTGAATGAAGTATGTACTAATAGTACAGGCTGACTTTGCACTTGCTATCCTTCTGCCTCAGAGTCCCAAGTGTTGGGATTACAGTGGGAGTGTACCACCACCCCTGGCTTGGTTTTCACTTTATATCCTGAACAGTGTTTGTATCTTCCCCCAACTGTCAGCTGCAAGCTTTGTACATGGGCTTCAGGCTGTAAGCTACAGACAGTTTCAAGGGTAGAAAGTCCTATGCTTCCTTTCTCCAGGCTGGGGAGCCTGGAGCCCTATGCTGGCCATGTGCACCTCCCACAGTCCTGGTCCCCTCTGCCTCCACAGACACCTGATCACCATCCACAATACCCATTGGAAAGTACGGCCAGCCAGTGCCAACAGCTACGAGTATCTGCAGCGGCAACTAATGAGGTGAGGGCCATGTCCACCCATTATCCTCGGGGAGGCCCAAGACCCCTGCCAGCAGAGACATTCCTTCAATGCAAGAGCTGGACAGGGCCTGGGGTGCCCATCTGGGAGGTTGTGGTTTGGGCTGTTAAGTACACAGCAGACAATGGAGGATAGGAACCAACATCTGTATTAGTATCTATTGTGGGCTGGAACTTAGGGGGGTCTTGTAGCAGAGGCATATTATGCTAGCTACTCAGGAAACTGAGGCAAAAGGATCTTAAGGTCTTCGTAGGCTACAGAGTGAAACCTTGCCTCAAAACAAACAGAATGAAGGGGCCAGGGATATAGCTCAGAGACAAGAGCGTTTGTCTAGCATGCACAAGGCCCTGGGTTCAATTTCCAGCACTGCTAAATGAATGGGGGGAGGTTGGAAATGGGAGGGCTTCTTGTTAAGTCTTACAGTCTCTGGAATCTAGTATTATATGCTTGTTTCCTGGTGGGTGAGTAATTGAGGATCCTCTGGGGCCCTTCCTGAGGCCTTGCTCGGTCATACAGCTTCCTTTGGAAGTGTATTCCATTACCATTCCACTTGACAGTTGAAGAGACTGAGGCTCAGACTATGTGACCTGTCCAAGATCATGGCTAGTGAGTGGCTGTGGAGCCTTACCTTTTGTCCCTCAACCTAGCTGGCTACCTAGACCTCAGCTCCATTTCCCTCATTCTTGGGTTCCAGGGGTCCTTCCAGAGCCCAACCTATGTGAGCTTCTGCCCAGCAATGGGACAGGGATGGGGGAATGAACAGCTGAGCATTAATCACCTCCAGGGAAAGGATGAATGAGCTGTACCACCCACCTTCTTTGATACTGTCCAGGGCCTTGGGGCCTATGCCAGCTCCTCTGTGATGGTTCTCCATATGGCTGTGACCTTTTGCCCTGCCCAGGGAACAACAGCAGCAATTGCATTACCAGAACTTTGGAGTCCATGAGGAGGGTCTAGGCTCCCAGAAGGACTGGGGTGATGGACCCCGAAATGACACCACCTTCAAGCACAAGTCACATGACCTGTCAACAATCTACCCTTATGGGGATCCTGAGCTAATGGACTATGATACTGTGAGTCTGGCTGTGCCCTGGCTCTGGGCATCTGTGTGCATGGAGAGAAAGGGGTAGTGATGAAGACCCTGACTGGGGACCTGGGTCACCCCACAGGCTGAGGTGGACATCCTGGGAGTGGATGGAGTCCTGTACAAAGGCCGAATGAACAGCCAGTTTGGGACTCGGACTGGGGAGAAGGACCTGGCAGGTGAGGAGCATCGCATCGGTGTTTCATTTCCTGGGGTTCCTGCCCTGAGGTCTGGTTCTGCTGGCCAAGACGGGAATTCAGGCGACTCAGGGCTGGTGCTGCCCATGGCTGAGGAGCCCTCACAGTCACTTCCATGAGCAGGGTCCCCATTGTGTGCCTGGTATCTTATCAGGCACAGGAAATAGTGAGAAGCAAAAGTGATGAATGGCCCCTGTGGGCTGCTGGGTGGGAGGGTGTGGCCTGTAAGAATATAAGAGATGGTACCAATCCATGGTGACCGAGATAAACAACTGAACCAGTCAGCCATGGAGGCATGATGCCTTTTGTTGCTTATTTTGTTTTGGCTTTTGGAGACAGGGTTTCCTTTGTGTATCCCTGGCTGTCCTGGAACTCACTCTGTAGGCCAGGCTGGCCTCACAGGTGGGTCTTTGAGTTCAAGGCCATCCTGGTCTACAGATCAGTTTTCAAGACAGCCTGGGAAATACACACAAAATGCAACAAACAAAAAGTCCAACTGACCTAAGGGACTAAAGGTACATCTTAGTGACAGTTCATAAATGCGAGGCCCTGGGATTCTTTTCCTGTACTGGGAAGCAAATGAATAGCTGAGCTGAAGCAAGGCCCCAGCCATAGGCAGCTGGATACTAGCAAAGGCTGGCCTGGGGAGGGATGCTCGGCTAGGGTTGAGTGTTGTGCCAGGCAAAGCTGGTCCATTGCGGGAGTGATTAGACAGCTCCTTGAACACCTTTGAAGAAGGAACAGGGGTTAGCTGGTGAAGGGTAGAGAGGGAGACGTGTGGTCTGTGTGGAGGAAGGGCAGGTTCAAAGGCTCTGTGGTAGGTTGGGCAGAACTTGGGGAGGATGAGTCTACCTGGAGCACAGAAGCTAGGGTAAGGGTTAAGAACCTTGAACAGAGCCAGACCCAGGAGGCCAAGGTTCAGAGCAGTGAGAGACCCCAACCTTTTGCATTTTGAATTGGTTGCTATGGTTATTCTGATAATCTGGTATACCCAAGATTCTTGATTTCATCACTGGGTGTATAATAAAACACAGACATGGAGCTTCTCTGTGCACCATTGGGATCTTTTCCTCTGGGAAGGTTGTGTCTGAAGCTTGTCCCCATCTAGGAAATGACGCACTTGCCTCAGGAGTGATACCGGATCTCAGGGCATCTAACCCCTAGGAATTTCATGGGCTGCCCATGGACCAAAGCACTGAGCCTGACATGCAAAGAAAAGGTGCCTCAGACAGGGGACACACCCACAGGAGCTGCCAGAGTTCACCACCACAACCCAGAGCCACAGGACAGTTTTCCCAGATCTGAATGAAGTCCTAAGTCACACAGTACAGGCAGAGCAGTAATTTCCTCAGAGCTGCGTGGAGTGGCAGGGGGGGGGTGTTTCCCCCCCCAGGGTTGAAGCCACTGCCTCCTTTTCCAGCTCCTTTTCTTCTGGTTCTCATGAGACACTTATCACTGGACTTTATTTAGGCTTAGGTGTATTCTAGGACCATCCATTTCAAAGCTTGAAATCACACAGATCTTTTGTTCTAACAAGGTCACATCTGTAAGTTCCACGGAATATAACTTTTAGGAGGCCACCATGCAACTCACTCACAGGCCCCACCCTTTCTCCAAGGGGACAGAATGGCATCTCCCATGCCCTTTGCCCAGGCAGCAAACTCCAATTTGCTCAGCAACTCCAATGTTCAGCATTGTTCAACAACTCCAATGCAGATCTGACGGGAGGGGACTCAGCTGGGGCTAATGTTTAATGAGCCCTTCCTGTGCTAGGCCCATGGCAAGCAGGTGAGGCATTTCACAAATGCACAAGGGAGGGCCTTTTAGTAGGAAGCAGTCTCAGGAGAGGAGACTGAGCCAGTTGGGAGACCTTTCATCCCAACACCATCACTGTAGACTTCTACAGTGGCTGAGGGAGGGCTTTTTCTCTCAGTGGGTAGTATATTCCTAAGAACCACATAATAGATCAGTGCTTGAGTGGTAACAAGCTCAACAGCTTTGCCTTGTTTGGATCTCACCAGAGTGGAAAGTCTGGCCTGATGGAGGAGCCAGAACTCTGGATGGGCCCCACCTATTCAGATCTTTTCTCCTCAGCTATGAAGGTTTCAAGTCCCTCAGTTCAAAACATGAATGATCGTGTGCGCTCTGGATCCATCCTTACTTCGAGCTACCCTCGTAAGTACCTAACCCACCTGGGTTTTAGCAGATCTCTAACTTCTACTGGTCCTTCCCCTCACCTTTAGCCTGGGCTTCATTCCACCCATCTCTCCCATTCTTGTCTGCTCTGTCCACATTTGCTCTCTGGCCAGGAAAAAAGGCCTTGGGGCCTCTAGCCATTCTGGGCTTCTGCATTTCCCCCAAAGGGGGATTTCTTGGCCAGTACCTGTTCCCAGAGGTCCCCTGGTTGCAGAGGAGGGACAAAGGAGGCCATTTACAGTCCTGAGCCCTTGTCTGAGAGGACTGGATCCTTGACTGTCCCTGGTTCCTATCTCTGGACCTCTAGAGGCCCTTAACAGTCAGAGCGCACTTCCTTCTGTCTGCTTCTTCCTGTTCAGCACAGCGCTGCTGCTTGTCCTTTCCAAAGGCAAGGTAGCTGAGGCTCAGTCCAGACACCTGAGCCCCGACTCTAAGCCCTTGCCTCCAGGTACACCATTCTATTCTAGCACCCATTTTGGAGTGCTAGACTTAGTCACCCTTGAGGAAGTGCTGAGGACCAGGACCAGAGGAGGTGCAGTGGCCAGCCCTGCCATGGCTTACAGTGTACCTCCAGTCTCCGGCTTCTGTTCCTCCTGGGGGGATGCGGGTAGGGTGCTGGTGGGGGCATCAGGTCAGCAGCTTCCAGAAATGTTGAACACAGCATGAGTTTCTCCTGCTTCATCTCCAGCCCTGGGCACCCGCACCAGCTCTGCCACCACCTATCTACACTCACCATCGGGTCAGCCGCCATCCCTGTCACCAGTGCAGCAGCTACCACCACTGATGCCACACTCAAGGGATCCGCAGGAGGCCCCTGCATCCACCAGGCACTTGAAATCTCTGCGGCTGGAGTCCCTAACCAGCACACACACTATGGATGAACAACCCACCCATGAGACACAAGTCCGTGACCCAACTACCATGAGGTCCCCTTAACTCTAAGAAAGACCTGGGGCCCTGGATCAGACCCAGAAAATGGCGCAGGGACCCTGGATATAGGGGGAAGGATCTGCATTTGGGGCCCATGTTGACTCAATGATTATGTATCTAAAATATAAACCACACAATCCTTGGCCAATATTTTCAAGAATAACACTGCTTTCAAGTGACTTTTTTTCCCCAACAGCACTAAGTGGTTTTAAAACAACCCTTCTGGGTTGTCAAGAGGGCTTGCCTAGCATGCACAACCCTGAGTTTGACCCCCTGGCACCAGAGAAGCTGGTATGGTGGCATACACTGACAACACCAGCACTTAGGTTGAAATGACAAGAGGACTTGGCCAAGGTCACCTTCAGCTACACAGTGAGTTCATAGCCAGCCTGGGATTCATGAGACTCTGTGTCAAACAACAAAAACAAAAATCCCTCTGCTTGGCATTTTGCTAAGTGTCATCATGATTGGCTTCTGCCTCCTTGAATTTTCCATTGAGGCCAACAGTTCCCCAGGGGAAGCAAATTTCACCATGCACTATTTTTATTTCCTGTGATCATTTCTACCAGTGACCATTATTATGAGTTGAATTGTTTCTATTTGTGTCTGAGAGGGTGTACTGTGGTGTAAGCTCCTGTGAGTGCGTGTGCAGAAGCCAGTAGAAGATGCTGACTGTCCTGCTCTATCACGATCCACCTTAATAAGTTGAGACAGGTCCTCATGCTCATGCAGCAAGCACAATTACTTGTTGAGCTATCTCTTTGGCTCTATTTACTTTTGAAATAGGGTCTCATGTATCCTAGGTTGGCTTTGAATTCACTCTGTAGCTGAGGATGACTTTGACCTTTTGATAATTCAGTGTCTACCGAATGTTGGGATTACAGGCCTATTCTGCTGTACCCAGTTACTGCAGTACTGGAAATCAAATCAAGGACTTTGGAATGTTTGGCATACACTCTAGCAACTGAACTACATCTCCAGCCCTTGAATTAATTAACCATTTCCTTTTTTTTTTCCAAGACAGGTTTTCTCTGTGTAACAGCCCCAGCTGTCCTGGTACTCTTTGTAGACCAGGGTGGCCTTGAACTCACAGAGATCTGCCTGATATCTGACTCCCAAATTCTGGGATCAAAGGCGTGCACCAACACGTCCAGCTCATTTACTTATTTTTTTTTAAGATTTTATTTATTATGTATACAACATTTTGCTTCCATGTGTATCTGCACACCAGAAGAGGGCACCAGATCTCATAACAGATGGTTGTGAGCCACCATGTGGTTGCTGGGAATTGAACTCAGGACCTCTGGAAGAGCAGCCAGTGCTCTTAACCTCTGAGCCATCTCTCCAGCCCCTCATTTACTTATTTTTATGTCTCAACTAATCCACAAGGAGACCGGTATGGCACCATTGCAGTAGTCTAGGACTGTTGGGTACCCTCCAAGAATGAGTCTAGCAGGTTCACAGCCCATGTGCTTGGTGGAACAACATACCCTGAGGTTCCATTTCCCTGTGGCAATTAGTGACTAGTCTTGGGGCATAAAGTGGACTGGACTCTCAAGCTGGCTCATTCCTTCTATCCATCTTTTTCTCTCTTCTAAGTCTCACTCCCTCACAGTCTTCCTGTCACCCCTTTCTCTCTTTCTCTACTGCTGAGAGTTCCATTCCACTTCACAGATACAGACAACTTTCCTGAGCATAAGTTGGGGGCATGGCTTCTGCCCCACCTCAGAGGTCACTCAATCTCTGGGCTGAGTGGGGAGCTGGGACAAGTTGGGGAGAGGGGATAACTTTCTAGGAAAGCTCAGGGAGGGGCTCTTGAAAGGAGAGCTCCAAATTCTGCCTAGGGCTGCTACAGGAAGAAACACTTGGTTTTTTCCGCCATTGGTGTGTGGGCCTTTTCCTCATGCCCCCTAAGGCCTCTGATCAATTCAGCTTTTGGCCTGAGGCCATCCCCAGTCAACTCACTCTTCTTTTTTTTTCCAAAAGTGTTCAAATGAGGCTGGGGCAGTCCTAACCTAGGCAACTCACTTATCTACTCCTACCTGGAGACAAACCACAGATAGGTATTTTGGCCATTTTCTGACCAGAATAAAATCTTTCTCTATCAGGCAGTGGTGGTGGCCTTTAATTCCAGCACTTGGAAGGCAGAGGAAGGAAGATCTCAGAGTTTGAGCCAGCCTGGTCTACAGAGCCAGTTCCAGGGGACAGCCAGAGTTATTAGGGGATGGGGGTGGGTGAAGAGAAAGACAGACTTAATCCTTTTGGATCTTAGATGAGGAGCTTGGCTTAGAGCCCTCTGTAGCCAGTGGCCTTGTTCAATTTCCACATGGGTGGGCCTTGCTGGTCCTTCCCCTGGCCACTGACTGAGGTTTTAGCTCCCAGTGCCCCCATCCAGAACACCAGAGATCTGCAGCGATCACTAGCTGTTCACCACCACAGCAGCATATCCTGAGCTGCTTCAACTGTGTAGCAGACAGATCACGCTGCTCCACAGGTTCAGGGTTACACAGCTCTCTGACTCATTCAGGAGGCTGACCCATTGGGTACTGTCCCCTTCCCCATAGCAGGAGGTTGTTTCTGGGGAAGTGGGGTCTGGGATGTGTCTAGGCATGTGTCCCTGGCTTATGGACATCCAGGGACTTGCCCTGGTCCCCCAGAGTGAGGACAAGTCCTCAGTCCTGCAGGTCAGTGTCCATCCTTTTACTTTGGAACGTGTTACTGAGAACTCAACTTCAAAGACAGATTTGGCCCTAGAGTGGAGGACCTGCAGGTTGGAGGCTGGAATAGGTAGTTGCCAGGAATTTGGTTGACCCCATCACAACAGGGGAAGGCATTTGGAGCAGTAGAACCCCATCTCAGGCCTGTCTCAGTCTTTTCTTCAACATGGGGCTAATAAAACCTGGACTGAGAATAGCTGCAAGACCAGACTGGATGCACAGTGGGGTGGGGTGACCAACTGTCTTGGTTTGTTCAATTGACTAGGGCATCTCAGGATGTCAGCCTTTGAGTTTTGAGATTAAGGTAAAAACCAGGGATGGCTATACATACACCTGCAATACTAGCATTCAGAAGGTAGAGGCCATCCTCAGCTACAAAGAGTTCAAGGCCAGCCTGGGCTACATAAGGCCCTGTCTCAAAACAAAAAAACAAAAAAACAAAAACAAGCCAGGCGTTGGTGGCTTACGCCTTTAATCCCAGCACTCGGGAGGCAGAGGCAGGTGGATCTCTGTGAGTTCGAGACCAGCCTGGTCTACAAGAGCTAGTTCCAGGATAGGCTCCAAAGCCACAGGGAAACGCTGTATCGAAAGACCAAAAAAACAAAAACAAAAACAAAAAAAACAAAGGGACTAGAGAAATGGCTCAGTGGTTAGGAGCACTGGCTGTCTCAGACGATTTGGGCACCCACTTCCCAGCACCCACATGGTGACTCACAACCCTCTGAAACTCCAGTTCCGGGGATCTGAAGCCCACTTCTGGCCTCTAGGCTTACATGCGGTGCACATATATATAAGCAGGCAAAACATGCAACCATATTAAAAGCTTTTTTAGCTGGGCATTGGTGCCGTACACCTTTAATCCCAGCACTCGGGAGGCAGAGGCAGGTGGATCTCTGTGAATTTGAGGCCAGCCTGGTCTATAGAACAAGTTCCAGGACAACTTCCAAAGCAATACAGAGAAACCTTGTCATGAACACCCCCCCACCCCCCACATTTTTTTTTTTTTTAAGCAAAGGCTGGAAGGCTAATGACTGGCATGGTGGGGGAGAGGGTGTGAAGCTACAGAGGGCCAGACAGCACAGAAAGGGAGGTGTCTTTTGTACAGAATAGGGTCCACCTGGATGTGCTGTTGAAGCAGGGCAGATGTTGCTCAGTGACCACCCTGCACCAGGAGACCAGCTCCACACTGCTGTGAGTGATGGTCATAAATACTTTAACTCATTAACCTAAGGTGTAAACTACTGACAATGTATGTCCTGGGAGGAGCCAGTGCGTAAGGCTAAGCAAAAGCTCCACACTGGATGGAAGAGCCTTTCTGACCCTGTTCCTAGCACACCGTGCTGCCAGGTCTCCACAGAGACTCTCCCAGGTCACAATACCAGAGGTTCCCTCTTCTTACCCACGCTGCCTTATTGGGTCTGTACAGAATGACTACAGCAGGGCTTATTGGCCTGGCGAGCAGAACAGGTCGCCAGGCATCTTGCATGGGGTCAGACATGGCTTTGCCATCCTGAGCCAGCTCCACGAGTGCCCATCTCAAGAGGACTCAGCCTGCCCCCCCACGCAAAGAACTGCTTTTTGTTTTGGGGGGGGTTTTTTGAGACAGGGTTTCTCTGTGGCTTTGGAGGCTGTCCCAGAACTAGCTCTTGTAGCCCAGGCGGGTCTCAAACTCAGAAATCAGCCTGCCTCTGCCTCCCGAGTGCGCCACCACTGCTTGGTTTGCAAAGAGCTGGGTTTTTTGTTTGTTGTTGTTGTTGTTGTTGTTGCTTTTTGTTTGTGCGAGACAGGGTTTCTCTGTGTAGCTTTGGAGCCTATCCTGGCACTCTCTCTGGAGACCAGGCTGGCCTCAAACTCACAGAGATCCGCCTGCCTCTGTCTCCCAAGTGCTGGGATTAAAGGTGTGCGCCACCAACGCCTGGTGTGCAAAGAGCTGTTTTTAAGGCTCATTTGAGACACACATTGTATCTAAACATATACAGTAGCTACAAGCAAAGGAATTAGAAACACATTCCAGCAAAAGATCTTTGTTTTAGTCAACCCAGGAGGCCTCCCAACAACAGGAGACCCCAGTCAAAAATCTCATCTGTTCTCTGCTGGGCAGGAACTGCTATGAAAAGCCCCTTAGAGACCTTTAGGACCATAGCCAGCATCGAGGACAGTGTGGTTCTCTGGGTTGTTCGTGTTGTATACTCAGAGAACTCTGTCTGAGCCACTAGACAGACCCTGGGGACACTGAGCAGCACTGGGTGTGGCCCCCAATCTCAGAATCTCAGAGAACAAGTGCTCTCTTTCAAGGCTGTTGGAAGACGCCACAGCAGCTGCAGAGAGCAGTGGGGACTTGTGTTCACAGCCATTGCCCTCTGCCCATCTA